AAATTAACCTTTCAACATCATTAGCGGATTCGCCGGAAATTAGGGTTTGTTCTTGAACAAAGACGATGGAGTTTGGGGCTGAGCAACTTGATTTTTTGTTAATATATTTCAATGTATTTTCAACGTATCCCGCTGTATTTTCATGTATTCATTGTCTTTTTTTCATTGTAATTCAATGTATCTCGCTGTATTTCATTGTATTCACTGTCTTTTTTTTCATTGTATTTCAATGTATTCCGCTGTATTCTATGCATTTCATTGTATTCACTGTTTCGCTATATGCCATGAATGTATTCATATATTTTTTAATTAATATATTTATCTATTCAGATATATTATATAATTTCTCTGAAGATTGTTATATTCTTGGGGTATTTTTCGGTTGAGAATCTTTTTTATAACTGGAAATATAAAATTTGTGTGTTATAATTGAGTTTATTGAGACATATTAGGAGTCTATTATGTTAATTGATTCACTTTCTGTTTAAAAACAGTGTAATCCCCTGTTTCACGCCGCAGATACAGTCGAATACAATAATATATCCAGCTGTAATCTCATGTTTCACGCCATGAATATCGTCGAATATACTCGAATACAACAACTAATTAGCTAAACTTCCCTGATTCACGCCTATTTTTGCTACTGTATTCATGAATACAATAGCTTTAATACATTTAATACATCTTATAACAACAGAAAACATATCTACAATCCGTAATATAGCAAATGATATCTATAGATAGTTAATTACCACTAAAAGATAATGCTATATGAAAATTTCTCAAAAAAAAGGGGTAGGAAAATAACTAATTTATGGGTAAGGGTGGGTAAATAGTTTGTGTACAGGTGGGTATTTGCAAAAAAAAAAAAAAAAAATACTAGCTTTTTAACAGAAATAGCTTTTAAGCTAAAAAACAATAACTTTAAAAAAAGAAACTAAAAAGTAATAAGTTGGGGTTCGCCAGTTTATTGCTTTTGGCTTGTTTTAACCATTTTTTAACTTTGTCAAACAATGAAAAAAGCTAAAAATGGCTTAAAATATTTGACCGGCTTCAATCCAAACACCCTCTATATTTTTGAGTGCATGACTTGATTATACAAATAATTTTTATATTATCTATACGTAAAATTTAAAAATTAAAAAGAAATCAGCAAAAATGGGAAAGGAAAGATAAAAAAAGAGGGCACTTGATTCATCAATTCAAGCAGATTCCTTGAATGGACTATAAGACAATAAATATATATTAAATATCCTTTTCATTACATTTAATTAAATTATCTGTTTCAACTATAATATTCACTGGTACCAATAATATACTTTTCTGTTCATAACATTAATTAAAGAGAACCAGGACAATTATGGTGCAAATATACATGCCATATTTAGGGTTACACCGCAGACTTTGGGATAAAATATGCACAAATCGTACCATGGGGATAATAAAGATTAACAAATATTTTCTTTGGTAGTCTTGGTTTTCATGGTACTTAAGATAGCCTCATATATACATACACCTTTAACTAAATCCCTTAACCAACAAATTATATTGTGTATTAAGCAAAAAATAAATTATATATACACACACACATTAAATTGTTACCATTGCTTCTTGTTAACGCTTCTTTCCGTTACTGTATCCATTACTATATTTCTTTTTAACAATATTGTGACTATGCTTTTACTAAGCCGAAGGATTGTCGAAAATAACTTATCTACCTTCACAAGATAAGGGTAAGATCTACGTACATATTATTCTTCCCAGACCCCACTTGTAAGAATGTACTGAATTTGTTATTGTTGTTGTATATAAATTAAATTCCCTTGACTTCTTCATATTTTATATTTGTAACTCCCCTTATGAAAATCCTAATTCTACCACTATATACAGATATTTATTTAAGAAAAGAATAGGGAAAAGATTAACTTCGATCATGAGGAATAAGTAGGAGAAGCGTCTGTATTGATCTAAATTTGGGCGGCTCGATAACTGCAGATAAACAGGGTCGATGACAGGGTCGACTACGGCACAACGGCGAGGAGCCGTCTAAAGAAGGATTATTGCCAAGGTCAAGTACATGGAGCAAAGAAGCAACGGTAGGATAGGTTTAGAAATAGACATAAGGAGTATTCCATTGGATATTCCTTATGTCGTACTTTTTAGGGTTTCTTGGGGATATCTCTTATAAATAGGAAGAGTTAAAGAACAAAAAGGGGGATCTTGACTTTTTTATAAGAGCACATTGTAAAGGGTTGACTACAGAGAATATACAAAAATTGTCTTGTTCACTGACGACATTGCCCAATATACGTTATTCAATCTTTGTTTGCAAGATCCAAAGATTCCTTATCCATCCTCACATTCCATCATTCCACGTTGTTGTCAGGAGGAAGAATCATCTAAGTCATATAATATTTGGGTGATAAATTCCTTCTTATTACGTTTACTGCCATTATCTACTTATTATAACATTCATTGACAATCATTGAGCAGATACCCGATATTTATTATTCTCAAACATTGTCCATACCGTTGATATCCTCCCACGTTAGATCTAGAATTTCTTATGTTTAACTAGGATTCACCGTCTATTTCATCATTAATTAATTTAACAAAAAGCTTAGACACATTTTGATCAAACACGTCACCACCGGTAAAGGCTTAAATTGACTTATGGCACCTCCCTTTGATTTAATAGGTTATATTTGATGTGTATATTATATTATCCACTACAATATAAGATTATGATGAGACAGTTTCAAACGTAAGATTGCCGAGGAATTCTACAAAGGAAAAGTTGAAAATTCCTAAATTCAACTCAACGTCCTAATTCTTAAAAAGTAATATAATTACTACACACATTGAAGATATTGCAAATTTCAAATATGACTTTTTCGACTCCCACAACAGGAAATCATGTAATCATTTTGGAATAACCTTTTCCAAATGAGCCCAAACAATAATCACACTATAGCATCCTCAGCTCTACCCCACCTAAAAGACAAATATTTTATGCACCTTTTTTAAAATCTCAAATACAAACATTTCAAGATGATATATATGCATGAGCGAATCTAAACTTTAATCCTGAATTTCTACAACAATTCCTTCGTTAATAATGGGATTTTTATACAAATAGTTGTTCGATTTTATTATTTATTTTTTCCTAATCGGTATACATATATTATATACTGATTATACATGATTATACATAAATTGCACATATATTATACATTTTCCAATTATTTTTAGTTTAAATAACTGAATAAGCTGTTATTTAGGTTAATTCTTCATTAATTAAACTATATTAGTTAGGTTCACAGCCAAATATTGCTAGATATTTAGTGGATATATATATATATATATATATATATATATATATATATATATATATATATATATATATATATATATATATATATATGTGTGTGTGTGTGCGCGCGCGCGCGCGTGTGTTTTGTAAGATTTAGGCCATAACTTATTCCGGGGAGTACGAAAGGAACTTTTTTTTCCTCTTAACTAAAAATACCTATATTTACCTATGCTAATTAAAGGCACTTTATAAAGTGTAAAGCGTACTTGATGAGATTGGATCTATTTTTTGTTTTATTTATAATAATTTTGAATTGACAGGAAGTGGACCGCTACTAGATTACAAGCTAGCGCGCAATGACTGAAAAGCAGACTGAGCTGAGAGAAGCCCTATGAGTCACCGAAACGACGATCGGAGTGCTCTGTTTCTATGAATAGAGGGAGAAAATATCTAATAAACTCTAAAATATGCTCCATTATTAGTATTTCCTGTCCTTTTTTTTTCTTTATTCTTTTAAGGGTAGGGGTAGGGGTAGGGGAGCAGATAGTGGTGGTGGGGGAGGAGTACTAGATCATGTTAATCAATTATCTTGACTCTAAATAATTATCAAAACACCCTCTTAATGACCCTCATCCAGCTCAATATTAGCAATTAAATCAAGTGGATCAGTTGTAAATCCTTTTTCCTAATCTCATCACTAGTGGACAAAACCCTAAGAAAACTCCTTTTTTTTAAAAAGAAAATTCTAAAAAAAAGCTCCTAAAATCTAATTCTCATGCCTCAGCATTCCAACTTGTCAAAGGATCATTTCCCCTTTGTCATCTTCTTTAGTCCGATAAGAATTTAATTATATATCTACTCTAAATATATATAAAAATCTTTTTATATTATGTAAATTTTAGTATATTTATTAATTAATATTTATCAAGAAATATACCTATATTTATTGATAAGTGACCTGTATATATAAATATTTTTACAACATTATTGTAGGGGTCGTTTGGTTGGAAAGATGTTATCCCAGGATTAATTATTCTGGGATTAGTTATTCTACATTTCCATAAGAATAAAAAAAATAGTACAATTCTGGGATTAATTATACCGCAATATTTTCCCAACCAAATATGGGATAAACTCTTCTTAAATTTAGTCCCTGGATTAATTATTTCTTGTCCTTCGTACCAAACGACCCCTACTTGTATAATAAATAGGGGTGGCAAAATGGGTAAAAGAAAACAACTAACCACCGATATTATCCACTAAAAAATGGGTTGGATAATGAACTTTTAAAAAATGGGTCAACTATGGATAAGAACTATATTATCCATTTAAAAAATGGATAACCAATGGATAGCCAATGTGTTTAACTTTTACATTTGTAAAGCCTCAAATTGGGGGTTCCTCAAGTTAGGGAGACTAAGAATTCTCCCAAAAGTGATCATATGCAAGAATTCATGGATAATATGGTAACCCATAACCATATTATCCGCCGGTTAACTTATTTTTTATCCGTATTAAATATGGGTCGAGTCGGATAATTAATCCGTTTTTCATTACCCATTTTCGACCCGAACCATATCGGCCCCGCCCCGCCGGTTTGCCACTTCTAATAATAATATTCCTCCTATTTCTCTTGATTTCTTCCTTAAGTTCCAAAAGTTTCCTATTAAGGGCAATCACTAAAAACATATATATAGCTGTTCCACTCATTAGTCCTACTTTATACCAAATATATCTACACTATATTTATACATATCAAAAGGACAACATAAATCTCCACTTTAGATGGATTTGAAGATCCAAGATCATGAGAAACTAATCTCAATCAAAGTTGAAGTTGAATCATTATCATTAGAAACTAATGATTCCATTTCTAAGGAAGAAAAACACTATATAGGTGTCCGAAAACGGCCATGGGGAAAATTTGCAGCTGAAATTAGGGATTCAACAAGGAATGGTAGAAGGGTTTGGCTTGGAACTTTTGATACTGCTGAAGAAGCTGCTATGACTTATGATCAAGCTGCATTTTGCATGAGAGGTCCTTCAACTTGTTTGAATTTCTCAGTTGAAAAAGTGCGCGAATCGCTACAAAAAATGGAATGTAATAACCTAAATGATGGATTGTTGTCACCAGCTGCAGCCCTAAAAGAGAAACATAAGAAGAGAAATAGTAGTAGTTCAAGAAAGAAGCAAGTGAATATTATTAAAGAAGAAGAGAATGTGTTTATATTTGAAGATTTAGGTCCTGATCTATTAGATGAACTCTTATCTGAGTATTCTTCTTGTTCAAATTAGTCTACTATTTTCACATCTGTAAGTAAATCTTGTACCTCTCCTTGTTCATGGTTTAATTTACCATTCTTTTTATTTGGTTCTTGTTTTCTAGCCAGCGAGGTCTATATATCGAAAACAGCTTCTCTGCTCGTTCAAGGTACGGATAAGACTACGTACATCTCACCTCTGCAGATCCCATTTGTGGGAATACACTGGGTCGTTGTTGTTTCTAGCTAATCTACTGTTTCCCTCTTTTAATTGAAAGGATCCAAGATCCTATAATTCACTCTCTTTCAAACTTGTTTGGTACCCTAGACTAGAACTTGCTTTTCCTAATTAAAGTCCTCCAAAATTGTAAAAAAGAAAAAAAAAATTCTTTCTTTTCTTCTTCTTCTCATGGTCAGAGCGTATATAGCATATAATCAATGGATTTAACTGAATTCAACATTTTGACACATAGCTTAAATACATTCATAAAAAATCACTAAACTTTCAACAACTATTAAATACCGAATTTATGATTGTAAAAGTGTAATGAGTTCAGTATTAAGAACCTAAAGGTCGAACACATTTAAAATTTACATGTTGGATCCGCCTGTGCAGTTAGTCTTGCTGTTTCTTTCTCTTGACTGTTTATCAAATATGATGTGTTAAATTTATCAGAAAGAAAAAGAAAAAGAAAAAAACACACACTTCATTTTCCATTAAAGCTTTGACATCTTACTGTTGTGTGATAAAAATTTAGAAATATTATTGTTACATGTAAAAGATTGTGCTCTTCAGGAATTTGGAAGTCACTATCTTCTACTTTAAACTTGAGGCTCCCACATACTCAAGTATTTCAGCCACACAATAATTATAAATATATTAGCATATCCTATGTCGATTCATTATTTGATTGTCACTATTTAAAGCTGAAAATGGTATTGAATGATTACTAATTTCATAAATTTAGTCATGAACTATGCATCCTTTTTTCTTTGGCATTCTATTGAGGTATTTCAATTTATTTGGTATTGTTAATTTACAGCTCAAGGATAGAGGATTCCAATCACAATCCGAGAATGTGTTTATTCATTTTATGTGTTAAGTGCCCTACGTTGGTGGAGAAAATTAGTCGTTATCTTCTTTTATGGTATTGGATAATGCTCACCTTATGAGTTAGTGTTGGAGTTATGCTAGAATCAATGTTCGTTTCTTATTATAGTATCGGTTGGACGTCCGAACAAAGTCTCATATTGGTACCTGAAAAGATTGGCATGAACCTACATATAATATGTAGGATGCCTTTAATGGTGTGAGGTTTCAGTAAGGCCTTGCGGGAAAATGATATGAACTTGACCCAGAGTGTAATATTACACTGTTTTAAGAGTATCTTTGGGTTGGTTGAGCCTAACCGTGCCAGAGTTAGACTCATTCCTATTTCTTGGTTACTCTGCGTTGAGCTCCTATACGTTATGTTGTCCACGTTCCAGATGTAAAATGCCTTACATTGGTGGAGGAAATGAGACTTTGAAGGTTGAGTTAAGTCCAATATGCATTTCTTATCGGTGTGGAATGCTATTTCCCTTTGACAGTGATTTTGAATCAAATCCAATGATCTCGTAAAAGTATGAGAAGTTTTGGTGAATCTTTTGCTTCTAGGTAGAACTTGATTATCCTTATGCTTTTCGTGAGCCGAGGGTCTATCGGAAACAGTCTATCCACCTTTACAAGGTAAGGGTAAGGCTGCGTACACAGTATCTTTTTCAACCTCACTTGTGAAATTACAATGTGTTTTTTTGTTGTTGTTATTTTTTCTTCTCTATTGTGTTATAAACTTTAATGTTTTGGCACTCTATCTTGCTCTTTCAGGACTTTGTTCTGCTCCCTTTGTCTCATATATTTCCAGCTGCAGGAGAGATTAATTATGTGTCAAAAACTTTCTCCATGTGATTTTATGATATAGTAACTAGTAAGTATGAATATTTCTGTTGTATTTTATTTCACAATATATAAGCAGTGGCGAAGCCACATGATCATAGGGGTGGTCAATTGACCACTCTTCGTCGAAAAATTACACTGTGTAGATAGGTAAAATATTATGTTTTAGAGGTATATAACACATATTAAACACCCTTTATCATGAATTGTTTTCACTTCTTTTAAATTTGAACATTCTTGCAGAAATTCCTAGCTTTGCCACTGTATATAAGGTACGCAAATCACCATCTTTTTTGTAAGTATAAATTGACTTTTGTTGTTGATTACTTTTTGCTTTCTCCTAAAGCTCTTTGATCAGGAAATTAAAGTTCTCTTTGAGATCAATCTGTTCAAGTCTGATATCTAATCTGTAAGTGTTTTATTTTCCTCCCTATTATTTTTTTATTAGATAAGTTCTCCACAGCTTTATTTTTTATATATTGCTTTGTTTTCTTATTATAAGATCCTATATGAATCATATTTGAGCAGGGAAAAACCAACAATGTGCTTTTATGTCATCCTTTTTACTATGTTGTATTCAGAAAACGAATCCAGGATAGAGTCGGCGGACCTATAGGTCAGGGGTTCGAGCCGTAGAATCTTCCACTGTTACTTGCATCAGGATAGGCTGCCTACGGCCTTTACCGGGACCCTACATTCATGCCGGATATTTCGTGCACTGGGCTGCCTTTTTCTTTTTGGTCAAGCCAAAAGCATGATTCTCAACTAACATTCTTTGTGAGCTACAGGCCGCTATCTATGGAATTAATTGGTGCTACCAACAACCTTCACAACTCACGCTAGAGATGGACTCACAAGTGGCCGTGAAGATGATCCAAGGACCGGTTAAACCTCCATGGAAGCTTCGAAGAGCTGTTGAAGAGGTGCAAAAGAAGACACTAGAGAGACGCTTCCACATAAAGCATTACCATAGGGAAGCTAATGTGGTAGCAGATTCTCTTGCAAAGCTGGCTATAACGTTGGACAATGAGAGAATCTTCCTCACAAAGGAAGACCTACCGGCCAGAGAACTCAAGAACGCCCCTGCGAATGGATAAATTACAGTTGGCCTTTTTTTTTTTTTTTTGGTTCTCTGAGGGTGCTGTATTAATAGAAAAGATAGTTATCTTTCATACAACACTAGGGTAAAGATTACCCATCATCGGAAAGGGATCAAACATATTGAGGAAGAGCTTTCACAAAGGCCAATAACCGATAGGTGATGTCACTAGCCTTAACTTCTTTATCTACTTGAAAGTTGATGGGAGTACGGCTTTCTTCAAGGAAGTGTCCCATATGATATTATATTAGTAAAGAGCCCT